GTACCAGGCCGGGGTACACAAGAAGTTCAAGGCCAGTCTGGGAAAGACAGTGGGACCCTGCCTCAAAAAAAAAAAAAAAAAAAAAAAACTGAAGGCAGGAATTCAGATAGATACTTTTATACCAATGTCACACCAACAGTATTCATAACAGCCACAAAGTGAAAACAATCCAGTGTCCCTCAAAGGAAGGGGTAAACAAAATGTGGCATATCTATGCACTGGAATATTGCATGACCAGAAAAAAGGAAATGGGTCAGTATCTGTCACTACTTTAAACATTAGACTCAATGAAATAAGCCAGGAAAAGGACAAATACTGTGCTTCCATTTGTATGAAATATCTAGAATAGGATGTTCACAGATACCAAGAGTAGAAGAGATCAGTGGCTGAGGGAAGGGGGCTCGCAAGTCACTGCTGACTGGGGTCAGAGTTTGCGTTGGGGATGATGGCAGTCTGGAGATGGATGATGAGGATGCTTATGTAACACTGTGGAGGGGGCTGGGGATTTAGCTCAGCTGCAAAAGCGCCTGCCTGGCAAGCGCAAGGTCGTGAGTTCGGTTCCCGGTACCGGAGAAAAACAACAACAAAAAAAAAACACTGTGAACATAATGAATGCCATTGGTTGTACACTTAAAAATGGTTAAAACGGCAGACCTCTAGCCGGTGTGTAACCCACACCTGTAATCCCAGCATTCTGGGAGGCTGAGGTAGGACAATTGCAAGTTGGAGCCCAGCCTGGGCAATTTAGAGGCTTAGCGAAATCCTGCCTCAAAGTAACAGAAAGAAAAGAATTTTGGAAAGGGGCTTGGGGTTAGCTCAGGGCAAAGGCGCTGGGTTCAATTCCCATTACAAGAAGGGAAGGAAGGCAAGAAGGGAGAGAGGAACAAGGCCCTGGGCCTTGGACTTCCCAGCCTCCCGACTGTACCTGATGACTTCCTCTTCTTCCTCCATCCCACCTGTGTTCCACCGGAGCAGCAGCCCACACACACAGCCAGCGTGGCCCAGCTCTGCCGTGGCCCCTCTCTGGAGTGCAAAGAAGGCCAGGCCGTGGCCGCCTCGTCTCCTCTCGGGACATTCGTGCCAGAGTGGCGGTGCTGCTGCCCCAGGCACCAGCCGTGCAGGGCTCGGGCCCAGACTGTCCCTGCACTGCCCCGGCGGCTCTCCTTGTCCCCACCAGCAGGTGGCACAGCAGCCCAGACTCTGCAGAGGTCACCCCAGGATCTCCCTGGGCCACCCCACGGCCCTCGGGTGAGGGGGGACAGGAAGCAGAGCCCACAGGCCCCGGCGTCGCGCCTGCTGGCAACCTGCTCAAAAACCCCACGTGGTGACGCCTGCCCCTCTCCGTGAACACTTTAACCCAGCCCAGCACCCCAGCACCCCAAAGTCAGGCTCCGGTCACCCCGCTCCTGCCTCCCGGCCAGCAGCGCTACAGCTTGGTGCCCGTGACGGGGCCGGGCCATGTCTGTCCAGCTCTGCAGGCAGGACGCTGCGCCCCCGTGGGCCCTGGGTGACAGCACCGTGTCCCCCATCTGTGCTTCTGCTGGCAAGCGGGCCCCCTTAGGAGAGCCAAGGCGGACGGGGCCGTCGCCGTCCCCGGTGTCGTCCTCGGGTCCGGCCGCTCCCCGGCTGTGGCTTCCTCTGCTGCTGAGTGGTTTGTGCCTCCTGCAGGTGCGAGGTGTGGCCGCTGAGTGCTGGGTGGAAAGGAAAGCCCCGCAGAGCAGTGGAACCAGCACCGCAAAGAGGACGCCCGCAGCCCACTGCGGACTAAGAGCACTGAGGGCTCCGGAGAAATCGGAGGACAAATGCATCTGCGGCTGACGACGCCGGGCCAGGTGGGCCCCACAGGGACCGGTCGGACCCCAGTGGGCAGGGCCAGGGCCAGCTGCCGATGCCAAGCAGCTCAGGAGGGCACAGCAGAGGCTGACACAGAAGGAGACAGGGACGGAGCGCTCTTAGGTGAGCAGGAGCTGAGGGGCGGCCGGGTATGTGGCAAATGCCTGTCATCCCAACGCTCCGGAGGCTGAGGCAGGAAAACTGCTTCGAGTTCAAGACCAACCTAGACTACACAGCAAGACTGTGTCTCAACCCCCCTCCCCCAAAAAAACCACTGAGGTGGGAACAAGACAAAGAGAAGGGAAGGGTCACCCGGCTTAGTCAAGTGATCATTGCCCACACCAAGGCCGCTGCTACCCCAGGGCAAGGCCAGCCCTAGGCGCAAGCTTGTTTTCCTTGAGTGCTGGGCCTGGGTCTCTGCCCCAAGCTCTGCCCCAGGCTGTATGGTGATGGCTTTCAGGGTGGCGCAAGAAGGAACAAGCCCGGCTGTAATCCCTGCAGGGAGGCCGAGACAGGAGCATTGTTCCAGCCCCGCCGGGGGAACTCAGCGAGACTCTGTCTGGACAGAGGGAGAGGGATGCAGCTCAGGCAGAGAGGAGGCGTCCTCCGCACCTGGTCTTGCTGGGCCTCAGGCAGGGCACAGGTGCAGAGGCCGCGCTGAGGAAAGCACAACCACCTCCTCTGAGAGTCAAAGCCACCGTGGAATTTGCTTAAAATCAGGCCATAGCTGGCCACACGGCCCCACCTTCAATCTAGGCTGGGACGGAGACAATCAAGTTAGAAAGATGGTACTCTCATCAGCACATCAAAAAAATAAGGGTCATGCCAGGCATGGTGGCACACACCTACAATCCCAGAACTCAAGAGGCTGAGGCAGGAGGATTGCTATGAGTTTGAGGCCAGCCTGGGCTATAAAGTGAGTTCAGGGCAGCCTGAACTGCATAGTGAAACCCTGTCTCAAAAAAGACAAAAAAAAAAGGTGGCACTGACCAAATCCAGGGCCACCCCCCACCCCGGGCTGAGGCAGGAGAACTGCAAGTTCTAGCTGAGCCTGGGCAGCGTAGCAAGACCCGGTCTCAAAAGCCAACAGCAAAAGGCTGGTGTCCTCCCGGCACGGTCATCAGCCCTGCCGCCCGATGTGTCCTCAGGGACCTAGACGGTAGCTGAGGGAAGCCATGAACGAACACATCCGTGCTCCGCCCCTGCTGAAGGGGCTGCTCTGGGCCTGGCCACCAGGACAGGGGCTGCCGTCGCAGGCCCCTCTGGCGGAGCCTCTTCCCCGGCTGAGAGCCCTCGTGGTTTCTGTGGGGACAGTGACGTCCAGTGGCGGCCAGGAGCCGCGCATGAACAGGCTTGGAGCGTAGGAGGAAGCGTGCCTGCCGGGCCGTCCAGGTCCTTTGTGCAGGGACGGCCGGCCTTTCCTCTCCCGAGCGTTCCGAGCTGCAGACCCCTTCCAGGGGTAGACTGCCGAGCAACGGGGCCACGCAGCCCCGGTCTGCCCCTCGACAGAGAAGGCATCAGATGTCTCCAGGCTGGGACAGGGCCGGGACACCTCCTCCCCAGCCCCTGCTCCCCGCCTGGATTTCTGCAGAGCCAGACTCGGCGCCCATGTCACTCGGAGGGCAGCCCCTCCTCCCGCGGTCCCCAGCTGTCCATCCGAGCCGCAGTCCTTTGCGGCCACTGGGTTCAGCCAGCCGCGACGGGGGAGACGCCTAGAAACGGAGCCCAGCGACACCCTGAGAGCGGCAGGCCGCGCGGGGACACTGGCCAGCTCGGGCCACGTCCCACGGCCAACTAACCCCGAAGCTGGGGGCAGGCGGGCTCGCGCCAGGCCCGCAGGGTGCTGCCGCTCATCTTTACCGCCAATTCTGCCGTCAGTGCGGAGACACGTGCAGACCCGGACCCGGGCGCAGGCCCGTCACAGGCGCCCCGGCAGAGGCCGCGCTGCCTCCCTGCTGCCACGGCTGGCTGCACCGAGCAGATGCGGGCCACACGTCGTCCCTTCCGTCAGCGATGGGCCGAAGGTCACCGAGAGGCTGCCGGGGGACACGTGGAACCCAGATCCTGGACATGTGCCTGTCTTAGCCGAGCACCGCAACCCTCGAGGGTTTTCTGTGACGCTGCGGCCGGACCAGCAGGCCAGACGCTCCCGTCCCGGGCACTGGCCGACAGTCGGCTCCTGGCGGCCTCGGCGCGCCTGCCTCCCTGAGCGCGGCCAACGCCTACAGGTGGTACGCGGGAAAGGCTTGCTGTCCCCGGTCAGCCCGCGTGGACTGCGTTCCCACTGAGGTGGGAAGGGGCCCGTCGGGTTCCTGTCCTCGTTTGCTAGGCTCTGCGGGTTCGTGCGTCGCGGTAGTAGGCAGTGCGCGGTTCTCCTAATGGGGAGGGGGCCACACGGGCCTGGAAACTGGGGTTCAGCCCGCTGCCATCACAGTAACCACCTGAACCCTGCCGCCCGCCGGTGTCTCCTGAGCTGGGAAGATCCACAGCGTGGGCTCTCCTCACATATCCAGCCCTCAACTCGGACACGGCTGAGAGGCTCTCCCTGGGGCACAAAGGAAGCAAAGATAGAAACACTAATCGGTAAACTTTTATTCATGGGGTTGTCTTTGTTTTTGTTCTGAAAAGCCAATCTTAAAGCCTGCTGGGCGTGGTGGCACGTGCCTGTAGTCCCAGCACTTGGGAGGCTGAGGCAGGAGGGTTGCAGTGAGTCTGAGGCCAGCTCAAAAATCATAACTATCATGATTGGAAAGAATATGAGGTTGGCAACATTCTGATGCTGGGTGTGGTGGCGCACACCTGTAATCCCAGCACTCGGGAGGCTGAGGCAGGAGGATCGCTGCAAGTTCAAGACCAGCCTGGGCTACATAGTGAGTTCAGGGGCAGTGCAGCCTACATAGTGAGACTCTGTGTCAAAATAAATAAATAAATAAATAAATAAAAATTTAAAATTTTAGAAAAAACTGAAAAGCTAACCTACTCAGATAAAAATCTCAGGCTACCTAAAATAAAAAAACATAAAAATGCTGAAAAGCACATACGCTACACACAGCCAGTGGTGAGACCGTGGGTCCCACCTCCCAGTTCCATTTCTTTTCACTTCTCTCTACTAACTTTCCAGAATGAGGGTTATTACCTTCACAATCAGAAAGCAAACACAGCAAAACGAAGCTCTGCGAGGTTTAATCACTAATTAGAGTTGAATCTAGTCACTGCCCGATGCAGGGCACCAGCCCGACCACCGAGCCCTCTCCCTGACCCCAGGCATGGGGCGAGGCCCCTCATGGACACCAGGCCCAGCAGCTCCCGTCTCAGAAGCTCAGCCCCAGAGCGCTTGGTCTGCTCGGCTCCCACAGGCCCATGGGGAAGTGGACGCTAAGCTCAGGAGCACACAGTCCTGCAGAGGGTGAATCACCGGGTCGGCCTCAAGCCTCCGTCTCCCCGGCTGGTGCCACCTGGGCCGGCATCTTCGCCCTTCACTGCATGCGCAGGGGCGGCACCAGACCTGGCAGCCTCCAAGCAGAGGCCCAGGTCCTGTCAAGAGTCCAGGTTTGGGAGGCCTCCTCTGTTTTCATCCAGTCTGGGCCGTTTTAGCTCTGGAGGGCTATCCTGGGAGTCTCCAGGGATCTCTGAAACATCAACAAATATGAGGTTTTTAAATAAAGGAAAAATTGTGTATGTTAAGAGCTGACATCTGAGCCAGGGGTGATGGTGCACACCTGTAATACCAGCATTTGGGAGGCTGAGGCAGGAGGATCAAGGCCAACCTGGGCTACACAGTGAGTTCAAGGCCAACCTGAACTACACAGCGAGACTGTCTCCAAAAAACAAACCAAAACAAATAATAATAACAAAACTATAATCTCAAACCAGTAATGTCATCACTTACCTGAGGGAATTTCTTCAGAAGAAGAGGTGGAAACTATGCTGGCTGGGACAGAATTCGGTGGACTCTCTGTCTTCAAAGGTATTAAGTTTATTCTCCTTGATTAAAAAAAATAAAGGGGTGGATGGCTCCTCAGTGTGCCAGGAATTTGTTTAGGTATGATACTAAGTTTCAAAACCACCAAGGAAGTACTTAAAATGTTTCAGCTGGCCCTGCTATGCCAGTTATTACACATAAGGACGTGCTCCCTAAATCAGTAAACAGGGTTACATTCATGCACTACCTTTACCTCATGGCCAACTGAAATCATAACCAGCCATTGCCGGGTGTGGCGGTGCACGCCTGTAATCTCAGCACTCAGGAGGCTGAGGCAGGAGGACTGCTGTAAATTCGAGACCAGCCTGGACCACACCGGTGAGTTCAAAGCCAGTCTGATTATCTCCCCCCACCGACCCCGGGTACCGGGAATCGAACTCACAACCTTGTGCTTGCCAGGCAGGCGCTGTGCCACTGAGCTAAATCCCCAGCCCCCCAATTTTTTTTTTTTTTGGTTTTGTTCCCCCGCCCCGCCGGTACCTGGAATCGAACTCATAACCTTGCACTTGCCAGGTAGGTGCTGTGCCGCTGAGCTAAATCCCCAGCCCCCCAATTTTTTTTTTTTTTGGTTTTGTTCCCCCGCCCCGCCGGTACCTGGAATCGAACTCATAACCTTGCACTTGCCAGGTAGGTGCTGTGCCGCTGAGCTAAATCCCCAGCCCTCAAAGCCAGTCTGAACTACATAGCGAGACCCTTTCTCAAAAGAAAAAAGAAAAAACAATATTTTCTTTACACCTGTAAATTCCAACACTCATGGGACACACCTGTAATTCCAACACTCATGGGAGGCTGAGACAAGAGGATCACTATGAGTTTGAGGCCAGCCTGGACTATGTATTAAGGCCCTGCCTCAGGAAAAAAAACATACTTGCCATGTGCAGAAGTTAGAGGTTTAAAAAGAGCCCAGCACTACCCTGAACCGTGGTGCAAGTCCCCCAAAGGTCACAGGCACGCTGACAGGCAGCACAGGGGGAGACAAGCGCCCCTCTTGCCTCGATCACCCCACCCTCGCCGCACCCCTCCTGGCACATGTGGAAGGGCAAGGCCGGGGGGTCCAGCAGAGGCCATGGGCAGGGGAGTGACAGCCTTGATCTGACGTCAGGCCACTGGCCACAGGCCTCCCGCCGCGCCGGTGACATCCCGCCCTGCCCCAGGTCCTTACCGGGGCGTGGTCTTGCTCCAGGCCTGCAGCGTGTTCAGTGTAACCCTCCGGGACGGGTGACCCTTCGTGTTCTGCAGCGTCACGTCCTCGGAAGGCCCCGGCGAGGGGCCCTTGATACCAGGAGTCACCGCAGGCACATCTTTGACGGCCGCTGGGGCTGGGGTCTGTCCTGCCGGCGAGGGCGTCTCGGAGGGGCTGCCGGGCTCCTGCGCTTTGGAGGTGGGGGGCCCCTCGGCGGGCCTGGGCCCGGGCGAAGAGCCCTGCGGGGCGTGACTCCTCGCCTTCCTCGTGGTGTCCGGTGTCCTCACGTGCAACAGCGGCTTCTCTTTCAACGGGACGCCAAGTTCATCCTTCTCAAATGTCACGAAGGAGCAGTACCCGTCCGTGGACGAAATGGCCAGGAAGGCCCCGTCGCTGGACCTTGGGTCCCAAAGCAGGGGAGAAAGTTAGAGCCCTTCCCGAAGTCTACGGCCTACAACACCCTTGGGACCTTGTGGAAAGCGGGAGCTCCGCGAGATCAGGAGCTTTCTGGAAGGTGAGGGTAAAAGCCAGGGACACGGGCCGGGACCAGGGACTCTCACTGGCCCAGCGCTGGCCCAGCCCCGCCTCGGCATCCCACAGCGCCAGCCGCAAACCACCAGTGCCCACCCAAGGCAGGGTGGGGCGGTCTGTTTCCCAAGACGGGAAAGGGCTGTGAAGGGCAAGAAGTAGAGGGTGCAGGACGAGGCCTGCGCTAGAGCTCGAGCCGCCCGGGCCCAGAGGCCGTCGGGCCCAGAAGGCAGCGAGGAGGCAGGGTGCCGCGTGCACCCCTGGGGCGGGCCAGGCAGGCGAGGGCTTCCTCCAGGGGGCCCGGCGCACCCCTCAGCGAGCAGGAGTTCCTGGGCCTCCGCTCCGCTCACCCAAGTTCGGTTACTTCGGCTCATCCCACAGAGCAATCTCAATGGCCTCAAAAGCAGCATCACAGCCAAAGGGACACAGCCTCCCTCTCGCAGCGGACGCCTCGCGTCATCAGCGACGGGGCCGAGACCACCGTTCGTCAGGAGAGGCCCTCGCCCCAGCTCTGCCCGCACCAACACCACTGTCCCCGAGGCGGCTCACCAGGAAATGTCACTGAGCGTGTGGTAGTGGATGTTGGACACATAGCCGAAGGGGAACAGCTGCTGGGTGTCGTAGAGCAGCACGGAGTCCTCGGAGGCCACCGCGAACACCAGGCGGTAGGGCAGGCGCACCAGCTCCCCGGCGGGCTCCTGCGCGGCTCTGTCTGCAGGCGAGACGCACAGGAAAGCAGCAATGACAACGCCCGAGGGAAACGAGCTCCCCCAAGCCCGCTCCCGGGGGGATGTAAGGGGCGTCATTTTACCCAAAGCTAATTTGCTATAGGCTTTAAAAAGAATGCCGTTCTTCAGGCTTATGTTAAAGATATTAATAAAAGAACCACACGGGGCCAGGAGCACAGTGTCTGGAACTCAGAATCACGGGCAGTGAGGGCCAAGAGAAAAAAGAGAAAGAGAGAGGAGCTATGTGGTGGTGCACACCTGGAATCCCAGCACTCGGGAAACTGAGGCAGAGGGTCACCTTGAGCTCCAGGCCAGCCTGGGCTGCACAGAGCGGCCCAGTCTCAAAAATTAAAACAAAAATAAACAAATAAAAGGAAACAGCTGGGCGTGGTGCTGCATACCTAGAATCCCAGCACTCGGGAGGCTGAGGCAGGAGGATTGCTGCGAGTTTGAGACCAGCCTGGGCTACAAAGTGAGCTCAAGGCCAGCCTGAACTGCATAGCGAGACCCTGTCTCAAAAACAAAACAACAACAACAAAAAAGCATAGAGTATCAATAAGCCACCGGACAATATCACCTGGCTACATATGTGTGTAACTGGGTATTAACCGCATGAAGAAGAGAGGGCGGACAGAAAAACTTAAAAAAGAAAGGCCAAAATGTCCCAGCTCTTCATGAAAACCATAAACTCAAAGATCTAGGAAACTCAATGAACCCTAAGCAGCACAAGAAACATGGAGAAAACTACTATTCTCAAAAGCAAGTGATAATCATCTTGTTTAAAGCCAGTGATAAAAAGAAAAGCCTTCAAAGCAGCCTGAGGGGAGAAAAATAGTTAAACATGTAGTTTATACCTAATTTTACGCACAGAAAATTGGTCACGAATGATATTTGACCAGCTGGAAAACAAAACTAGGAGGCAGTGCAGAGCACCTTAATCCAGTACTCAGGGGGTGGAGGCTGAGGCAGGAGGATCACCCCAAGCTTGAGGCCAACCTGGGCTGCACCGTGAGTTCAAGGCCAGCCTGAACTACATAGTGAGACCCTGTCTCAACACCAACAAACACACAAATAAGCACACAGTCCCAGTGATACAAAGGCAGAGAGTGGATGGTGGTGACCAGAGTCCAGGGAGAGCAGAGAGGGGGCCGGGATGGGGACAGGTTGGTCAACAGGTACGAAGAGTGGGGAGCACTACGGACGTATGCATGTCTCAAACCCCACAGGGCACCCCACAATCACGCACCGTTAAGTGTCTATAAAATGGGAAAATAAGTAAACTGAACCGAACCCACACCCTCCGCTCCCCCAAGCCGGGCAGGGTCAGGAGGGACAGGCATGCCCCGTTGAGGGTCCAGGTACCTGGTTCCGCCACCGGCCTCAGCTCAAAGTAGACAGGACAGCAGCGCACGGCGAGCGTGGCCTTCCCGGGACACGGAAGGTGGGCGACCGGCCTAGGAGAGCAACCAAGTTCAGAAGCGGGAGCGGCTGCCGGCGGAGGCGAAGGCACCGGCTCCCTTCCTTGCTCCCCGGCTCACCTTTTCAGGTTCCTCCTGGAGAACACGTAGGTGGTGTTGGTGACGTTTTCCCCAGACTCCACGCATCCGGCTGGGAGGCAGAAGCAGGAAGGGGAGTGGGTGTTAGGGCTCACCGTCCTCCAGAAAGCGCAAGAGCCTTCCGGTGCGGTTAGCGAGATGTCTTTTCCCTCAAGCTGCGTCAGTGGACAATGTTTTGTGACAAATCCAAGTGTTGGTCACCATCTGGTCTCACTCCTTATGTGAGATCCACTCCCCGGCTTCTCTGTCTAGGGGCTCACAGCCCCAGGACACAGGCGGGAAGAACAGGAAGCGGGGGCCGCTATTGAGCACCTCATCCAAGAATCCAGGCAAAGCGCAGGACCACACTGCTACCCAGGCTCCGACCCTGCGCGTCACTCCAGGATGAGCGACTCTGGACCTTCCCATCTGCCAGACCCAGCCCCGGCTGCCACCTCCGGCCTCCTGCAGACCCCGCCTGTGTCAGGAACAGCTCATGTGACAGCGCCTCCTCAGTCCCCAGCTGGACCCAGGGCCACGAGACTGTCACACAGTGCTCCTCCAAACGCCTCCTGTTCCACGTTCCTATCTCTTGACAGGTATGTACACACGTAATTTCACATATGACCATTTTATATTTCAAGATCAGTAGCTTTTTGCTATCGTTCTTTTCTTGTTTTGAGTTTTTGTTTTTTGGAGATTTTTGGTTTTTTTGAGACAGGGTCTTCCTGTGTGGTTCTGGCTGACCTTGAACTCACTATGTAGCCCAGGCTAGCCTTGAACTCAAGGCAGTCCTCCTGCCTCAGCCTCCTAAGTGCTGGGATTACAGCTGGGTGTTACCACACACCTGTCACTGGGTTTAGTATATAACTTTTGATAAAAATCTTTTAGTAAATAACATAAGCAACTACTTCTTCCTGGTCCTGAGAGTTCCCCAGCCCAAGCGCCAGCCCTACATGTCCCTGATCAATCTTTTTTTTCAGTCGATCTCTTTAGGCCTCTCTCACACACGTACGCATGGCTCACGCCCTGCAGCGTGGCTGGTTCTTCGTGGCAGACCCGACCTGGGTCCTGCTGAGAGGACCAACCCTGGACAACATCGTCACCTTCACACACAGGACGGTGTGGGCCTTGGGCTCACCGAACACTGTGGCCATGCGCTGCCCCGGCAGGCCTCACCGGGGGCCACGAAGCCATCCTGTCCTAGCCTCTCCTGCGCCCACGGAAGCCCAGCCACACCAGTCCCATCTAGCCTGCCGCACCACAGGCTGCTCTGGAGAGGAAAAGGGTAAAACAACAGAGGTACACTTTGGTACTGAGCTGCTCATACCTATCTGCTGAAAAATCTCTCATGAAACGGTTTAAGTAGTAAACGCTCTGAGAGTAAAATTTAGCTAACTGTCCCACACGCTAGGCTTGCAAGTCCCCAACTTGGCTGAACCTCAGAAGCACGTGGAAATCTTTTGAACATTCCGAGAGCTGGGCCACCTGCCCCAGGCCAGCGAAGCCACCATCTCCGGGGAGGGGACACAGTGGCGGCAGCTTTCCCAAGCTCCCCTGGGGCTGCACTGTGCGGACTTGGCCGAGCCGCGATGCTGCACCCCTGAACGGGAGCCTCGGTGCACCCCCCGGCTCCCGCTCCGAACCCAACGCTGCCGACCTGGGGTGAGGAGCAGGGACCCGTCGGGCGTGAAGCTGAGCCTTCGGAAGAAGGACTTCATGCTGTCATCGTGGAACATCCGGTAGCTTCGGGCCTGTGGCACATGAGGTGGAAACATCATTCCAGATCTCTCTGCCCACAGCGAGGGCTTACTGGTTGTGACAAAGTAATAAATGAGACTGAAACCCACTGCAAAGCAGGTAATGATGTAAGACTGTACGAGCCGCTGCTCACAAGGGCCCAGCACCCACTGTACTCGGCAAGCCCATGCGTGGAGGGCTGGGGGTCTGGGTGTGGTGCGTCTGTATATTATTTAAAAAGTGTGAGAACACACACACCGTCAAGCGTGGTTTGTCCGGGACGAACTCGAAGGAAGATGACAAGGAAACCTCTGTTATTTGCGTGAACACATTTAGAATTTCCAGGTGAATGAACATTTTTAAAAGATGATTTCACCGGTCATCACCTTCTCAATCCGTGTTGCCCCCTGCATGTACGGCTAGGAGTCTCGAGTGCTCCCGGGCTGGGTCCCGTTCCTCGCTACCGGCCACTTCCCGGGGTGGAAACCACGACACTCGCCCCGGTCCCCAGGAGTCCCCGTTTCCATAGAGACCAGCCCCCCACAGACTGAGCCTTGCAGTTGTTGTGACTTCTGGTCCCTGAGACCAGAGACTCGGCTGTGAGCACGGGTGGGGAGCTCACGCCTTCCCCAGCTCCCCAGGAAGGGAAAGTGCACGCGCTTCATACCTCTCCTTCAGCCCCCACGCCGGACAGCATCTTGGAGACATTAAAAGCCACGCGTTTCTTCTGTGTGCTGTACACGCGCAGCACCCTGCAGAAAGAGCGGAGCTCTGATTTTTCCTCTCCTAGTGAGTGAATTACATTTCACAACCTGCTACCCCCTAGACAGTGGCCAGCCTGCAGAACCATTACTGGGGACGCCCGCGCAGACCTAACTGAGGAGCTGTGAGGGAGGGGTAGCAGCGTTAACACCGCCAGGGTAGCGGCCTGGGGAAATAGGTCACGTTTTAGTTTTACTTATTTTTCATCCATGTTTTAACTTCGCAAGTAAGATACAGCTGAGGCCTGGGCTTATTTTTTAGGTCTTGGATATTTGGCCCAGGGGTAGTCAGTGTAACTGAGGTTCCGTGCTGGAGTCTCACTTTTGGGGACTTCCGAGTCTAAGGAAAACACCTGCAGGCAAACCTGGCTACATCACAGCATTGCTACCAGGCGATCACACTGTTTTACTCCTGACTGCCCGAATAAAACAAATCAGAAGATAAATGGCATTCGCGATCTCTAAGAAAAGAAACGCTCACTCTTCTATGCTGCTTTTATCCCAGGGCTATATTAAACTCAATTTTTAAAGTAAAAGTAATTAATAAATATGCAAAAGGAGTATTTTGTTACATAATATACTTGGAACCCCCAATTTTTAAAACTGTTCAAAAATGCATTTATACCAACAGAGCAATGACACTTCCTTTCAGAAGGTAAAAAACATTGGGGGCGGTGGCAGGGCCTTCACACTGACCTACACCCTGAACCCTTATTTTTAACTTTGAGGCAGGGTCTCACTAAGTCACTGAGTTGCCTGGGCTGGCCTCAAACTTGTGATTCTCCCGCCACAGCCTCCCAGAGTGCTGGATTGTAAGCATGTGCCACCACACCTGTCAAAACATTGAATTTTTATATCAATTTAAATGGAGTCATTAAAATCAGCACAGTAGTAAACTACCACCAAGAAGTGAAATAAATGAGCTGGGGATGTTGCTCTGTGGTAGAGCACCTGATTAGCACCACACACACACACATACACACACACACACACACACGTCTCTACTGAAATAAATACTTCAATCCCCTACTCACTTTCTTGTTTCAGTTATATTCATAAAAGACCCTTTGGGAATCAATGTATTTCCAAGTTTATTTGATGTCAGACATCTCTTCCTACATCTGCGCACCGACTCAATAGGTTTCCTAAGCACTAACTGTGTAGTCAGCCGCCCTAATTAGTTTCCATTTTTTGTCATGTTGTAAGAGTAACAGTACGAAACAAGAAAAACACAGCCAGAGTGTGGCTTAGCCTGGTTAAGCTGTGACACAAATACCTCTGCAGAGAATTCCAGGGAACACAGAGAGGACAGCTTGCCGAACACTCACGTACCTGTCACAGCTCAGCGTAGCCACGTATTGACCCAGAGGGTCCCAGGTCACTCCCTGTACATAGCTTTTATGTTCATTAAAAATTGAAATCTTTTGTCCTACGAACGACAACACAATAGCATTAGCAAATCTTATGCAGGCACAAAGTTATAGCTGTCACTCACAAACGCCCCCCTTAATCCCATTTCATCTCTGTTCCACACACTGCCCAAAAGACGACTCCACATAGCCCCGCGGTTACGGGTTGTGTCTGGATGTCCCCCCAAAGCCTCATGCGGTTATGGAAGGGCTTTTACAGTTTCTGATTGATTCACGTCCAATGCTGGATTATGGGTGTGAGCGCTACACCTGCCCTGGGGCAGGCAGCCTGTAGAAAATGTAAGAGAGGGGAAGACGCTTGCTCTCTCTGCTCTTTTTCACTCTTGCTGCTTTTGCTGTCTTCTGCCTCCATGAATTGTTACTCTCTGCCACTCTGCCTTGGAGCCAGCTGAGCACAGACTGAAACCTCCACAAACTGTGAGCTAAATAAACCTTTTTTTCCTTAATTTTGAGTGTCGGGTATTTTCTCTCAGCAATGAGAGAAAAGTAACCAAGATACCCGCCCTCAGAGACAACAGGATGAGGGACACAGGTGTCCCCTGGGTGAGGACGGCACGTCACTGGCCCGAGGAGGACGAGGAGGGGAAGGAGGAGACATGCGCAGCACGGAAGAGCCGACTTTCACTCTCCAGGGTCCTCAGGAAACAGGACGGGGACAGGAGGCTATGTAGGATGCTTAGCTAGCGCATGAGGTGCAGTCCGGGACTGCCAATGGGCTGGCAGAGGCCCGGGACACCGCGGTCAGGGGAAAAGAGCCACATCAGAGATCCCGCGTGTAATGAAGGGGCTCGGGGTACAGGCCACAGGGAACCCACGCTGGGACGTGCTCTGTATTCTAAAGATGCAACTGAGCCTTAGAGAGGATGACACAAGGGTCACTGGTTAGGAGGTGACACAGGTCAGTCTAGAACTGAGGAAGGACCCTGAAAGGAGCAACATTAACAGGATCGGCACAGAGCCAGGTGTGGCAGCACGTGTGTAATCTCAGCAGTCGGGAGGCTGAGGCAGGAGGATTGAGAGCTCAAGGCCAGACTGGGCTACACAGAGACACTGTCTCAAAAAAAAAACAAAAATAAAATAAAACAAAATAGGGATGTCAAAGAGCCTTTGGGGGAAGGTATTCAGAAGAAAAAGCCAGCAGCACACAGAGATTACTTGCCGAAGAAAAGCAGGTTACGAAGCCTTCACCATCTTTTTAGTGATCCACGTCTGATAAAAAATGGTTTATAGGATGTTGATGATTTCTCATATGTGTATAAGGTCATGACTTACGCTTTTCTTTTTCTTTGTTTTTTTTTTGTTTTGTTTTTGGTGGTGCTGGGGATGGAACTCAGAACCTGTGCACGAAAGGCAAGAACTCTGCCCCTGAGCCATACCTCCAGCCCTCATCTTCTATGTTCCTTTCTTGTATCTGAATTACTGTTCGACGACACCCTTAACCGGGGATTCCCTGCCACGATCCTCAGCCACTAGGCAGTGGCACCAAGCACCTGATGCGTTTTCTGTCAGTGTTGACAGTGGCCCAGCAGTTTCCCAAGTCCAGCTGTCATCAGTCTGAACTGGGTCGACGCGGTGTTCGGCCCCGTGATCCCCACCAAGCTGACACAACCAGGCTGTGGCAACTGCACGCAAGTCCATGAGGATGGGTTTGGAGTGAAACGTATCTACCAAGTCTGCCGCTTCTGCAACCAAGCCCGAAACATGGTTGTCAAACTGAATGCTTGGTCTGAGACCTGCCGAGGGCAGCGAGGCCACATGTGCCCCTCGGATAACTCGGGATGACGCTGACCTGCTGACCGGTGCCCACACCTGCAGGGCCGTGCGACTGCAGAGGACCAGGAGTGTGCGACTTAACGCACTGTCCCAACGCTCTGCCATCCTCAGAAACCCCTCCCACGATGACCGCCCTCCGGCCTCCGCCCACACCCGCTAACCCTGTGCCACCTGCTGTCCCTGCCTGGCGCCCGCGGGCCTCTGGCCTCGTCCTTCTGCTGTGTGGAGCACAGTTCCAAGGGTGACGAGGTGAGGGACGGAGGGCGACCGGGCTGGGCGGTACGGAACTCGGAGGGAGACTGAGCAGGAGAGCTGGAGGATGGGGCGCGGCCGCAGCAGTGCCATTCCGCCTCCTGCCACCGTGCTGGGCACCCGGGGGACAGGGGCAGCCCCAGAAGAGGGCAGGGAGCACAGGGCGTCAGGGCCGGACACCGGGGACTCAGGAACCCCGGCTGTGGCGTCCATCACAACTGCCCACAGGACTGCTACCTCCCCTAGTGGACAGCAGGCTCCTCAGAGGCGCGGACGCTGCCCACTTGGCTTCTCTTCTGAAGTGGACACTGGACCCTGCAGACCGCATCGACGCACACAGTGCTGTTTTCATTATCGACGGCTTCCAGGCTGCCCGAGACCCTGAGCTCTGCGCAGGAGCCAGGCCCGCCCTGTGCTGTCCACAGCCCAAGAGTGAGCGATCTATCCGCCTTTCATGGACACTGGTGACCCACGACGCCACCGCTCTCAGCCTATCAAAATGCAACTGGACCCACGGCCTATGGGACAAATCTCTCTCCTGGTGACCAGCCGTTACTTTGGTTCACTGAAGAAATTTTTCACGTTACACTTTACGTGTATGTGGTACTAGAGATTAAACCCAGGGACTTCAAACTGAGCTACATCCTCAGCCTTTTTACTTCTTGCTAAGTGGCCCAGGCTTGGATGGAACTTGGGATCCCCCTGCCTCAGCCTTCCAGAGTGCTGGGATTATAGGTATACACTGCAAGGCCTGGCCTCATGGTGCTTTTAAAGCTAAAGCCAGTTCATTTTGTTTTGTTTGTCTTTTTGAGACGGGGTCTCACTATGCAGTTCAGGCTGGCCTTGAGCTCACTTTATAACCCAGGCTGGTCTCGAACTCGCAACGATCCTTCTGCCTCAGCCTCCCAAAGTGCTGGGATCACAGGCGTGCACCACCAGGCCTGGCCAGTTGGGTTTTTTAAAAGGCATTTACAATATTCCCGCCCTCCAGAGGAACAAACTCTCACCACTTACCTTTACTGACATCCCATATAATGGCTGTGTTATCCACGGAGGCAGAAACCATTAAGTTCCCGTCAGTTGCCCAGCTAATGTCATATACATCTTCTAAGTGGCCCCTAGAGTCCAGAGAGAAAAATAAGCCATGAATGTCTCAAAAAAGGAAAATGTTATTAAAAACTTAAAGACAAAATCAAGGACCATGTATTAGAATGAGAGTGGAAATTTCCTCTGGAACTGTATTGGCTCTAGCTATTAACAAGTCCTTTCAAGGATACCCACATTTTTGAAACAGGTTCACTTTTCTTTTTGGTTTTTTGAGACAGGGTCTCCCTGTGCAGTTCAGGCTGGCCTTAAACTCACTATGTAGCCAAAGCTGGCCTCAAACTCATAGCGATCCACCTGCCTCAGCCTCCTGAGTGCTGGGATTACAGACCAGGTTTCCTTTTACTGTCAAAAACTAAGGACCATTTTATAGCAGGAACTCAGCAAGTCCATTTTCAGGAAGTTTTCATCCTTTACTTTCTTACGGGTAGGTAAAAGTTTTAAATTAAATGTAAAGGTCAAAAGACCTATTCTGAGCCAGATGTAGTGACACACCCTGTAATCCCAGCACTAGGGAGGCTGAGGCAGGAGGATCACCGCCAGCCTGAACTACATAGCGAGACCCTGTCTCCAAAGCAAAGGGTGGTGGAGTGGGGGACACATACAGTGTTCTGCTTAACACATCCAGTTTGTAAAGCTCAGTCACCCGCAGGTGCCTCCCCACGTTACCTCAGGGTTTTCACGACAGTCCAGTTCTCCTTATTCAGCTGAGCTTCATCCTCATCCTGGAAAGTAACCTGCTCGGGCTCCTTGTTGTCGTTCACCTTCCACAGCAGGATGACGGCATCTGGAGAGGCAGCCACAGTGAGCCGCCCTCGCCCCTCACTTCCGGGCAGAACAGTCCACACGCTGTGCCACGGACGCCGCGGCCTTGAGGGGCCGCTTCCAAGGGTCTGGGCGGAAAAGCAGCTCTGCCTTCTGAACGAGGCTCTAGAAACAGCAAAGCCAGAACGGACCACAGCCCTCCCTGCACAACCCCCTGAAACAGAGGGGGCTCCAGCCCACTCAAATGCCACCGCAAAGTGGCCGACTGCACTCCCAAATCTAAAGCGGGGGTTAGCGAGCTGCTGAACCACGGAAGCTTCAGCAAGTCACTGCACGTCTCGAGGGCGCAGTGTCCTCTGGGAAGTGGGGACCACAGCCGGGTGGGGTGGCGCACACCTGTGATCCCAGCACTCGGGATGCTGAGGCGGGAGGATCGCTGTGAGTTCAAGACCAGCCTGGGCTCCATAGTGAGTTCAAGGGGATCTCAGAGTACGGTGACCTCAGAGGGTTACTGTGAGGCCTAACGCATGATCAGTGGGGGTCTGCACGGCATACACCCCACAGTAGTGTTCGTGACCAGTACCAGCAGATACTGTGGCCTGACGCTGGTGTGACCCAAGTGTGACAGCTGCCCTCGTTCCGACTGGCGCTTACCACGTGGCCTGCCCACCACCCCCAGCTTCTCTCCCGGGGAGGAGGAGCATAAACGAGTGGGCAAGGTAAGTGGACGGTCCCCCCAACTCTAAATGCACAGCAATCCCGACCGCACGCCACATGTGCAAGTGTGAGCAAGTGCGCCTGAGATGCAGGGGCCCGGACACGTTCTTCCCGTGCTGAAGAATGGCAGGTCTCTGGGCCTTTAAGGCCAAGGGACTTTGCAAAATGACAGCTGTCCTGTCCGACCTCACAGGACGTGGCCTGTGCCCCCCGCCTGGGGCTCCCACTCCCCGCCCTCCCCTGTAAACACACGCACGCCGTGGTACTCTGCAACTGAACCCAACTGGGTCTCCTCTCCTCCTCCTGCAAACAAAGCCCGAGGTTCCCAGCTGGTGTGTGGTGCCACCTGTACTCCCAGATCCCCGGGACTCTGACGCAGGAGGACTTCAAGGTCAAGGAGAGCGTGGGAAACTGATCCCCCGTCTCAAAAAGTAGATACAGCCCAGGGGTAGAGCACCCTTGGGTACCATCCCCAATACTGCAAACAAAACATCGCGGAGACCCCTTTTTGCACCGTTTTCTAGACTGCACGGTGAAGGTTTACACTTAGGTACAGTTTCATCCTATGTGAGCACAGGCAGAAAATGCGAGCAAATCTGTTCTCACCAAGCAAGCACAAATTACAAGCCCATTCATTCCCAAAGCCAATCAGTTACGGACTCTGGTCACCTCGGATGTTAAGGCCAGAGTTCTTGCCTTGCGACCCCAACCAGCCTCGGGGTGCAAGTGAGAAAGCACGCTGCCCTCCATCCTCCTCACGGATACACCCCCTAAAACATCACTTCACCAAACCAACGGCAGATGGAACGCGGCGGCAACGTGGCCAGTAAAAAAGCATATCCTGCTTGAGCCGGGGGTGGTGGCACACCCCGTAATCCCAGCACTCTCAAAGCGAAGGCAGGAGGATCACCGGGAGTTTGAGGCCAGCCTGGGTTACATAGTGAGTTCAAGTCAAGCCTGAACTGCACAGTGAGACCTTGTCTCAAAAAACAAAGCAAAACAAAACAAAACAAAAAAAGGCAAAAGAGCATACGCTGCTTAATTCTCATTACCTGAGACACACAGGTACCCGGTTTCTAAAGGGTTTCTGAAGTACAGTAATACTCACCATCTCCTCCTGACGCTAAAATTTCCCCAGTTGGAGAAAAACGCACGACATTGACAGCTTTGGTGTGACGAGCAAGATTGGACAAAAATTCCACAATGGCTTTTCCATCTGGTCCTTTTTCTACCTTCCAGATCTGTTGGTACCAAAACGTCCAGTTGAAAGTGAATACTTACTATCTTGCTCATACTGAAACACTTCTACGTTTGTCCTCAGTAAGAAGCTTTAATTTTCCTTTTGAAACATAAAATGCTTTGAAACGTTTGTCTTTCTAAAATATAAACCAAAGCTGGGTACACTGGTGCACACCTGTCATCCCAGGCCTCCAGGGGCTGAGGCAGGGGGATGGCTGTGAGTTCCAGGCCAGCCTGGGTTACAAAGTGAGTTCAAGACCAGCCTGAACCACATAGTGAGACCCTGTCTCAAAAAGACAGAAAAAAAGAAAGAAAGAAAGAAAGAAAGAAAGAAAGAAAGAAAGAAAGAAAGAAAAAGAAAAGAAAAGAAAAGAAAAGGAAAGGAAAGACAGAGGGAGAGAGGGAAGAAAGAAAGAAAGAAAGAAAGAAAGAAAGAAAGAAAGAAAGAGCAAATGACTCTTGCTTTCACTGTTCACACAGGCTCTGAGAATTTAGCATTCTAGGCCAGATGACAAAGCACTTTGAATTTGCTGACATTAGTTTTAAATAAAGGAATGAAGTTGGACATGGTGGTGCATACCTGTGATCCCACCACTTTGGAGGCTGAGGCAGGAGGATCACCATCAGTTTCAGACCAGCCTGGGCTATATACAGTAAGTTCAAAGCCAGCTTGAAATATGTAGTAAGACCTTGTCTCAAAACCAGTAAATCAATAAATAAAAACTGACTCTCAGCAAGGTTCTGCTGCATCTTCCCATCTCTGCCCGACTTACCCTGACAGCAGTGTCCACCCCTGCAGATGCCAGTCTGTGGATTCTCCCTGCCGTGGCATACTGGAAGTCCAGGCTGTACACTGGCTCCTTGTTGTGCCAGGCTATTTCGCAAGTGATGACTTTCATCCTCTTGAACTCTGGGTGGGACAAAAAATTTCTCAGGCTTCGTACTTTCTGCAAAGACAGAAGAAGGCTAAAAGAACGGAGCACTGTATTACACGGCAGTATTACAGCACCAAACTAAGTGGCTGCGTGGCGGGGCAGGAACCCCAAGGTGTACAGTGCTCACTGCGCTGGGAGACGATGCTAATGCGGCCATCTGATAGAACATCTCCAAGCCCTACCTAAAACGCTTCCTTGAACCCCAGCATGCCCAACTTCAGGACTGGCCTGGTGCATCCAGAAAAGCAGAAAGGCACCTGATAGTCCAGGGGCTGGGGCTGGGAAGCACCGCCCAGTATAGTAGGGGAACGGCTTCCTGGAGGACGGGGTCACGGAGGAAGGGGGTCGCTGGGGAGGGGGCTTCCTGGAAGGACAGGGTCATGGGGGTGGTATTTCCGGAAGGAAGGCTTCCTGGAGGAGGGCGCCCGGAGGAGGGGACGTCCCAGGAAGGGGCCTCCCGGAAGAGGGGGTCTCGCGTGGAGTAGGGGCGGCATCGCGGGCCGGGTCGGACCCCTGCGCGGGACGCTGGCCAGGGCCGAAAGCAGGAAGCCGGGCGCGGCCGGCTCCTGGCGGGGCCGCACGCCGGCACGAGCGCCGTTCCAGGGCTAGCCCGGCCCCAGCAGCCGGCCCTAGGCGAGCAGCCCCCTCCCGGCTCGGCCGGGCGGCGGGTCTCGAAGGGAGAGAGTGGCCAGTCCCGGGAAGCCGTACCTGCACGGACACCGCCGCTCCACAGAGCCGCCACCTCCCGCCGCCGCGCGCAGCTTCCCGCGCGCCGCAGGCCCCGCCCCCGAGCGGGTGGGACTTAGAGGACGTCACGCCCCCTTGTGGGCGGGGCCCCGAGGCTCCTGATCTTTTAGGTACGCCGGGCTTCGCTACGGTTTCCCCGGAGGCGGGGCCCAGGGATTCCCCGCCCCTTCTGGGCGCCGGGGCTGGGCCAGCAAGACCCCAGGACTGGAATCAGGGCGACCTCCTCCTGGTTCATTGGTCCTGCAGACCCACGTGCCGGTGCAAGAATGAATGAGTTCATCCACTCTTCGGTTCGACCACTTATTCCCTTGTTAGTTGTTTTAGCGTTCATTTACTGAGCATCTGCTAGATGTTGGACCCTGTTCTGGCGCTGGAGAACCTTTGGTGAGTGAAGCTGAAAATCAGACTAACACTCGGAATTTCATGTCCTAAAATCTTCCTGTAGAGAGAGTGGGCAAACGTCTTTGACGTCCACCGACATCACCAGAAGGTTCACTGGTGCAGCGACTACTTGGCAGCGCTTGCCCCTCCAAGGTGCAACCTGGTCTCCGCAGTTCAAACGTCATTGGGCGGCTCCCTCCTCCAGTGTCCTGAGCAGCTTACACCAAGGACCACAATAAAAAGATGCAGTGGGAGGGACGACAGGGAAGAACTGGCGCCTGAAGGTTCTGGGCACGAGGTCGTTTGGGATGTGAAAGCTCAATGAAGTTTGAAAGTAAAGTGGTTTCAGGCGAATGCGTTTTGGACGGGCAGTGGTGAGCTCGACTTTAGGAAGCTTAAGCTAAGGACTGGCCACAGGCAGACGTACAGAGGCACTAGGGGAGCACTGGGGCAGGGAATGGGATAGGACAGGATGGAGCCGTGACCCAGAAGCCTGTGGGTGCCGATGAGCAGGTCTTAGGGATGTGTGTCCATGGCAACTTTAAGTCCCATTCTGAATGAACTAGAAGCCTGATGGCGGCACAGGTCACTCCTGGGGCTTGGCTGAGACAAGACAGGACCTGGACTTGCTCACAGCAAGTGTCAAGGATGGAAATACATCTTCTGCTGTTTTGGAGACAGGGTCTCAGTATGTAGTTCAGGCTAGCCTGGAACTTTCAATTCTCTGGCCTCAGCCTTGAGTGCTGGGACTAAGGCACGCACCATCACATCCAGCTGGGATGGAAGTTCTTTTGAATCACACTTAAATATACCCTGTATCTTACTACCATGACACGGAGTCCTACTTTGCAAATCTTCTGTGGTTCTCCAAGTCTGTTGACTCTTACAGAGCAAAACACTAACCCTGGAGACTGTATTTGTGCCCCACTTGAGCTGAAAAGGTGCATCTGCTCACATTGCTCTGATGAGGTGTGTGGAAAACAAAGCTGCAATTCCCACTCGGGTTCTGTGATGATGAATTCGTTCTCCCCGAGTTCACTCAACAGTTCGACTTGTATTTAAGTGGTGACCCTTGCCTCCTGTGGTCTGGACCTTCTTCCTACAGGCCACTGTAGGAAAATTAACTTTGTGTTTATTTTTTCTTTCATACTAACCAGACATTGATGGCATTCCTTTTGTGAGCTGTGGCCCCATGTCCAAAAGTCGAGCAGGACACGAGCACACGATGGGCTAATGGACAAGGCTAGTAGACAATGCCTGCTGTGGGGTTTCTGAAATGGATTTGCTCAGTGGTGGTCAGGACTGTATCAACACAAACTTTGATGTTCTTTACAATGGTAAGACAACCCGCAAAAAATGAGTGCAGAAAGAACACAATATAGAACACACAAAACACTAAAATTACATCGATAAAGCATGAAAATATGTCCAACCTGAGACAAATGCAGTGTCATTTTTTCATATCTACTTAAATAGCACACAACCCCCCATACTCCACATTGTCCTGTCAAATTTTTTGTTAGCCATATTCTCAGTCTGATTATATATATATTTCCATGCAGTTCAGGCTGGTCTTGAACTCATTTTGTAGCAATGTAGCAAACTTGCAATGATACTCCTGCCTCAGCCTCCTGAGTGCTGGGATTCTAGGCATGTGCCACCACACCCGGCTAGTCTGTTATATTTTAATGAGTGAAAAGTATGCAAGAAGTTCTAAAGACCTAACTTAGCAAGCAAGTTTCTTTTATGAATCTTACGGTTAATTTTCCCATTTAGCCAGAGAATGATCATATAAAAAGTACATTTTTGCAAGAATATAGAAGCTGACCAAGAGAAAGGGGAAAACAAGTTCCCAAAAGAAATACTATTTCAACTGAGTCACAAACCTTCCATGATTTACACAGGTGCTACAGGCCAGGCAAGGTTTCTCCAGATGAAATAATTTATACAAAGCAAAGAACACACATACTCTCTCCCTTAGCTATAAAGGAAAGTCTTAGTCTTCAAAATATAACTTGTGATAATGTAGTAAAAGCAGCTCAACTGGAAGAGCTCACAGATAGAATACTTTGAGATTAATACTGAATTCTTTAAAAGTAATGTCTGAAGAGTTAGCCATCATATATTTTTATTACAAGGTACTTTAAAATTTGAGGAATTACAAGTATGACAGAATCCCAGCTTCATACCAAAAATACACTTTCAATTACTTATCAAGCAAATAAAAACAATTTCCATTTATTTTCTCCTTCCACAAGATATTATACATTAAAAATTCATTCTATATGATGTACATGTAATTAAACAAACATGCAAAATGAGTATGTACTGAATTCTCAGAAACAAAAGTAAAAATAAATAGCAATGATAAACCTTTGGAAAAAATAATGCATATTTTACTTGTGGAAAATATGGTTCTTAATTATATACAGTTAGATATTTAATAGAAAGTCATCTCTTTAGGATTGCACAAACATGGAACCAATAAAACCTATCTTCTGCCATGTAATACTATAACGCTAGGGCAGTGTGCCCCTCAGCTCCAGGATATAAAACATTTAGGTTTGTGGTGTAATCAAAGGTATGCAGTATTGTTTGAGAAAGACTGTCTTCCTCAACTCACATTAATCTACAGAAATCCTACAAAAGGCTGTACAGGAATTTCACAAAAAGAAATATTAAATAATTATAGTGCCCACTCCCTGCTGAATAAACAGCCAAAAATGGGCTTCAAAGTAAACTTGGTGATCATTTAATATTCTCAGTACTTTATACTAAAGATTGTTTCTTTATCCTATAAAAACAAGTTTGTGTTTAAACCTGTTGGCAATCTCAGCACAAGAAAAATCCTGGCAAACATGGAGTCTATTTTTCTTACCATATTTTAAATATTTCAGGAGACAGACGTTTAGAGAAAAGAAACATTAATGCTCAAACCCCTCTTAAGCACATACTTATCAGGGACATCATCATTTAAAAATCCTACATTCCTTTTTTAAGAAAATCAAAGGTAGTAATGTTCTGTGTTTGTATTACAGGATGGCCATCAAGTCAGAGAAAAATACTTTTTTGGGAACCAGAAAATAAACTGCACCAAGCTTAGGGACAACCTGAAAAGCTCTTGGTGAAAAACACTGAAGTACTTTAGAGCAATAAAAAAATATGTGTAGGCTTAATTACAAATATTTACATTCAACACACAATCATAAGTTAGCCATTCAGCTGATCAATACAACCATTCGTAGGTATTTATTTCACTTGTGCATAGAGTACAGTAAAGATTAGGGTTCTGCAGTCTGCCATCTTCTCTGTAAAACAAGACTGCTGACATTGGGGAAGCGGTACATGTGAAAGAACTTGGCACATGTTGTATTATTTCACATGAAACCTACTTTATGTACTACTGATTTCACTCATTTGTTCCACAACCTGTCCTAAGATCTCATCGACCACATCAACATCATAGTTCACTTGCTGAAGGTCAAGATCCGGCACAATCATAGTCAACAGCTGTCCCACGTTAACGCGAAGAGACCGAAGCTTGAGGCTGCAAATGCAAAAAGAGAAACTTATCGAGGAGCAGTATAACACAGGTGGGACTTAAAAATACACATGGATCTTAAAACTTGATGGTAAAAATATTAAAATTAAATCTCTGTAGAACAACAGTTGAACAAAAAGAAAAGTAAAACTCCTCTTGGAGAACTGGATCATGAATTTAATAATCCATTCCATCCACTAGGTGCTAGCCTAAGTTGAAAGGGTATGTGTCAAGCTGGGAGTGGTGGCATGCACCTATAAGCCCAGCACTCAGAAGGCTGAGGCAGAAGGACTGCTGTGAGTTTGAGATTAGCCTGAGCTACAAATGAGCTCAAAGCCCGACTGAACTGCAAAGCAAGACCCTGTCTCAAAAAAGACCAAAAACATCAAAAAAAAGTAGGTTTCATAAATCTAGTGGTGTGGTCTGGTTCCTACATCTTTTAATTTGCAAACTGGAGAAAACCTTCCCTTTGAGGAAAATAGAAACTATTCCCCTAAAACATGCAAGAGAAAAAAAACATCTCTGTAGTCAGATAAACTTGCAAAGCTCTGTGTTAAATAATGTTAAGCTTTTTAAATTACAGGACTTCTCTGACTCTGTTACATGCTCAAGTTCACTGGCCATCCCCATCCATGTCACCATGCATTTACAGAGAACTGTTTTGCTGAAATACTGGCTGGAGATATTACTATCATTGCTGTCCAGTTCATGACTGTCAGCATTCCAGACTTAGGAAGAAATTCCAGGGCTAGCAGTGTAGCTCAGTGGTACAGCACTGGCCTAACTTGTTTGAGGTCCTAGACTTGACTCCCAAGCCTGCTTCAAAAAGAAAAAAAAAAATATTCAGGCAATAAATACCTGAAACTGTACAGCAGTCTTTCCTTCTCAGAACAGACACCAGAAGACATGGAATTGCTCTTGTTCTCTCTGCACCCTACACTAAGTCCGGATTTAGACACTGATTTTTCTAGGACGGAACTCTATGTAGCTGTTACGACATGCATCCTTAGGTTGACAATGCAGAAAAACTATTGTTGATGTTATGAGCTTTTATGCTAAGACCCCACTGGACCGTGGATAAAACTGTACATTACTCACAGGACAGCCACTTTTCCCGACACTTAACACTCATGCCCAATCAAAGGCCTGTAGCTCAAACTCCTTTTCACCTTGTTTTCCAGAAGTCATTAGCCAACTTACACTATCTTCTCCTGAGAAGATCCCCTCTACCACAAGGAAGTTCTTTATCCTACCAGCAGGCAAATGACTAGGTACAAGCTCTTACCAACTCTTTCCCGAAAGTCTCTGACTGTCTCTGCTACTTCTTGCTCTTTCTCGAATGTGTCAGATTCCTATTTTCAGTGTCTAGACCGTCCAAGATAAACAATGCTAGCTCTAAATTGAATCTTATACATTCCAGCAGCCACAGTAAAAGGTAAAAGAAAAATCTGATTTTTAGTGGTGTATTTTATTTAAACCAGTGCAGCCAAAGTATTGTTTTATACTGTAATCATGGTGGCACACACCTATAATCCCAGCACTCAGGAGGATGAAGAAGCAGGAAGATCACCTCGAGTTCTAGGTCAGGTTGGGCTACCTACTGAATTCAAGGTCAGCCTGAGCTACATAGCAAGACCTTGTCTCAAAGAGCGAAACTTGTTTTTAACTGGGAATTGAACTCAGGACCTCGCACTTGCCAGGCAGGTGCTTGTGCCACTAAGCTATATCCCCGGCCCTTCAAGGAAACAAAACTTCTTAAATAAGGTATTGCTCATCTTTTTTTCCCTTTTACGTGAGGGTTTCAGAAGTCAAAGCAAATCTCAATTCATACCACCCGCATTTCAGGCGTCAATACCACATGTGGCTAGTCGCTGCCACACACAGACTAAGACTGCCAGTTACTCTGAGTTTAGAGTAGAAGAGAATCGTCTGGAGGCTTGTTTAAAACAGTTTCTAATTCAGCAAGTGGCAGAGGATCCGCCTCTGTAAGTCATATCGGTGCTTACAGGACCTGGTCCTCATTTTTAGAAAGACTGGTCAAGGCTTATTTTGGGCCTTTGGCCTCCATGCTTAACAAAGTGCCTTATTAGGTGTGATGAGACACACCTGCAGGCTGCTGCCAAGCAGGGAGAGGCAGGCGAGGTAACTACTGCAGTGCGTCCTCGCCCACCTTATTCATGGAGCCTGGCCCCCTGTGACTTCCTGCTCTTCCGCAAAGTCAAAATGACCATGAAAGGTAAAGGTTTTGAACTGACTTGAGACATCAAGGCAGCCACCACAGCTCATAAAAAAGGGACTCCCAGAACTGCTTCTACAAGTGCAAGAATGATGGGGTAAGCGTGTTCCTAGTGAGAGGAAGCATTCTGAGAGGGATTACAGTAAGATGTGCCTTACTGTAATAAACTTCAGGGTTCAAACTTGCAGTCCCCCTGTTTAGTGCTGGGATCATGGCTGTGCACCACCACACGTGAGGGCCATTTTTAGTAATTTGGTGATTTCCCAAAGGATTACAACTCACATACAGTAAGAGGAGGACACGGATCCATAAAAAAGATGTAGCTCAATTTTAACTTTTCTCCCCAAAACATTCCAAACCACTCTTTATCCCTTCTAAATTCTTTCACTTAACTGAAGAACTGGAACAGACAATTCATTATTTCTTTTGAATCACTCTGAAATGCCGGGTCACAGGGACTTTCTTCTGATAGAACAAACACGTACCACTGACAGCTACTGCACGCTAACAGATCAAGTGAGCGTGCCAACCAGAAGCGCAGCCCCAGAGAAATGTGGCGCTGAGTGTTACCTTTCCCCATCCAAGTAATTTACAGGCTCCTCAACGTTACTTGAAGTTGAAACATCTGCTCCTATCTGTTGCCTTGAGGATTTTAACTGTGCAATTTCTGTTTTGAGTTGTTCACACTGGGAATGAATTTGTGATTTTTCCGCTTCCAATAATGCAACCTGACAAAAAATATAAATGGCCTTTACGATTGTAAAATTTCAAAATATTGTCAAAGTTCAAATTTAAGCTAAGAAATACAACTAGCCTGCTAAAAATTACCAGCTATCGAAAATTCCTTCACTTAATTTAAGAACCTGAACTGTTAATACACATACATGTCCCAATAAATTTTATGTTTCATTCATTTAATATCACTTAAAAAAAACAAAACATCACTTTTATATCTTTTTACAGTGAGAGAAAATGTTACTGCCACTTGCCCAAAATTAAGTGGTACCCAGAGAATGCACCACAGAGACACTAAGGCCGACGTGGTTACGCTGATGTTCCGGTGCCTTTCACGTCTTACACATTTAAAGTTAACTTACCCTAGCGAGTGCATACTGATTTCTGTGCACTGTGTCATCTAGCTCCTGAGCTAAAGCACCCTGAAGAATGTTTTAATGCATACTTATGATAACAATATTCCCAGGCAGGGGCAGTCCTGTATGGCTTTCTTTCAACACCACATAAAAAATAATGTATGTGGGGCTAGGGATTTAGCTCAGCAGCACAGCGCCTGCCTGGCAAGCACAAGGTCGTGAGTTCGATTCCTGGTACCGGAAAAAAAACCCAAAAAACAAAAAAATAATGTATGCATCTAGAGCAACAGGAGCTCACAGAATTTGAAGTGGGGCACACGCACAAGTTATTAATCATCTGGTAGCCACTGCTTTTCTCCTTCTTCCTCCCTGGAATAGCAACTGCATCTCCCAGGCAGGCAGCTGCAAGCCGTGTGCCTCAGTTCTGGCAGACGAAGCGCCACAGCTCCGAGGAGCCTCCCTGCTTCCCCTCCTGCAGCGTGGGGCATGGCTGTGACACCTGGGTCCGAGGAGCCACCGTGGACAACAAGCGCAGCCTGAGAAGCTCAGCGATGGCGCAGAAGCGGCCTACAGCCCTGGCAGCTGGGGAGCCTCCACACTATCTGGGTGTGGTCTCCCTTCGTCCCGCCCCTTAATAGGGCTTTCATCGCCACAATGGGACTCCATAATCGATCTCATGGAGTTACTGAAAGGTGCACCAGTAACGGACGGAAATTTCTGGCTACACTGCGTAGCTGTCTTAACGGGGATGAGTGATACCGATACTCCGATCAGGACAGTTACTCCTGTACAGCCCCGTCCTGCGCCCTGCGGGGCGTTTACCACACTTCCCACTACTTTCCAGCCATCTCCTAAAGACACACTAAGAAGCAAAAATGCCCTTCCCACCCATTACCCCCAGGGGATCTCCCCCATGGCCCAGTTCAGACCGAAAGGCTTCATTCAATCCACAGGACTATTATTTAGTGGGAGTATTTCAGCCCAGCGCCTGGCAGCTCCGGAGGGTGTGACGACCTTGGACTCCTGAGACTCACCTCGCTTTTGTACTTGTCCCTCTCAACAGTGCACCTGTCCAGCTGTCTAAACACATCGTCAAGCTGCAGAGCCATTTCGTCCATGTCCCTTTTACTCTCAAGACTGGAACACTGACTACATTCGGCCTTCACGTGTTGCAAAGCACTACACTGCTTTGTCAGCCTTTCTATTTCTTCCAAAGCCTGCTGATACTGAGAGACGATGTGGTCTGGGCTTTCAGATTTGCCATTAATACTTTCAAGTAAAAATACAGCATCAGTTTCAGTAGATTGATGGCAAAGCTCCTTCTTGACGTATCTGTCATTCATTTCTAGGATCTTCTCCTGTAATACTTTGATTTGGTCAGTAAACATGTGACACTGTCTCCTATAGCTGTCTTTTTCTTGGGAGACTAGAAGGAGTTCATTTCTCAGTACTTGTAACTGGCAGCCAGCGCTCTCCACAGACTTGTCAAAGGTTTCCTGGGTGTCCTGTATCTGCGCACCGGCATCCACAGAGACAGGCAGCATCACTGTGTCGTTTCTTACGTCTATCTCATCCTCAATACTTTCTTCCTTTTTAACAATTAAACTTGGTGGTTCGGTCTGGGTGGCTGCAGCAGTGCCCTGGTCACACCGGGACGAGCAGGTGCTTGTGGAACTAGTCTGGCCACAAGGCTCAGCGTCGTCCACAATCTCAACTTGGATGCCACTCTGTTTAAAGTGACTCTGCTCCGGTATGGCTTCCACATCAGGGTCCACGGCAGGTTTAGGAGTACTGTTTTCTTCTAAGATGATGACATCTTCATCATCATCATCATCATTTTTGAAAGAATTTTCAAATGTTTGATTACTTAATCTCCGATTCTTTGCATTCAAAATTGAGGAACGAATAGGAAGTCTCCGTTTCAGGCTGGAAAAAATTTTATATATAAAATATGAGATTATCAAATAGGTATGAATAAAATAAATGACCTTCAACAGAAATGTAATCTTTTTAACAAATGCCCTGTTATAACAAATTTTACAATTATTTTGAAATTCTAAGAACTACCTGGGCCTATTTTTATTTTTTTTTTTGGTGTATACTGGGCGAATGGAACTCAGGACCTTGCACTTGCCAGGCAGGCACTGTGCCACTGAGCTACATCCCCAGTCCAGCCTGAGCCTATTTTTAAAACTATACCAAACTAACCGTCTGAAGTACTAGATCCATATACTGTTACCCATCTGTCTTTTCACAGATGTGCTCCAGGCGCTTCAAGGAATACACTCCAGACAGAGGGACACCCACAGCAGACACCCTCTCATGTCTCCTGGGGGATGGCAAGGCCATTTTCACTTGTCACATTCAGTGATCAGAGGGAAGCCACGAAGCAAACCAGTATTATTCGCTACCGTTTCACATAAAACAAGCTTTCCCGAACCCCTGCCTCGTTTTTTCATTAGCACGGTGTCCTATAAAGTCATCAATGGATCACTCTTCTCCACACCCAGCAGGCTGTCCAGGCCTTGCGTGTTGGCCCGGCTGGATCTCAAGAAGGGTTCTGTCTTCCTCGCTCACTCTCTCATGCTGAGGAGCGAGCACCACCTCTGTCCTGAGGAAGGGCACCAGGACACCGTCGGAAGAAATGTCTTTATTCCCCCGTCCAGTTAACTGCTTGTCTGGTGGTGCCATAGCCTTGCAGGTTGGAGGTTACCTCCTCACAAATTTAAAAGGACCACTCCACTTCATCTATCACTGAGTGTTTCTGCCCTTCCTGATCTTTAGCAAGTAAGCTATGTCTTTTCTCTGTTAAAAAAAAAATATCACCTTTTCCCTCGTGATCTACGTCATGATAACCCACCTTGGAAATCAGTCTTTTTCCAGGCACCATGCTCTACACTTCACAGAAATGAGCCTTGTTCTGGTGTTACCTCCTCCCCTCTGGACCCTTCTTTTTCCGCTTTCCTACACTGAAACTCCCTCGTATTCAGGTATTGGCCTCCTGTACTGACCCCTTGTCTTTTCTGTACCTCCTATTTATCCTGTTGCTGTAAGAGATTTATTTATTCAGCATTCGCCCTATTTGCCCCACAGAATTTCCCATGTTTTCTTCTCCTTTTGTCCTATGTGAAGGTCACCCATGTGGCAATCCTTGGCTCCCCATGGAACTGACCAGAAGCATTGAGGGCTGGGTTTACTCCCCAAACAGGCTCAGACTGTCACTACCTACAGCTTTAATCTGGAAACAGGCGGGACCAGAAGGAAGGAGGGCTGCCTGCCTGCAATGTAGCATGCAGGCCTTCCTTTGTGCCTACTGACATAGCTCACACGCTTCATCAGCTCTGCAAACTGCTCCAGAAAGCCAGTGTCCTTATCTGCTTGTTTCTTCTTTATAAGAGAATCTTTTTTCTATGTCATACTCTGAGCAATACTTTGAAGATAATGATACACAGTCTATTAACAGTTATTTCCTTATTTTGTTATGAAATTTCCATAAAATAAAAATAACGATAAAACGTTGTTTCTGTGTTGTTTTTATCTGTTATTTTGTTTTCTCTTCAAAATAAAAAAATACACCCAACAAATGAAAAGAAAGATGATCTCCTATCTTCTGACAGAGAAAGAGAAGCAGCAGCTACCAAACTCTGCAGGAAGAGAAGGGATCTGAAAGCCTGTGCTGCCTTGACTTCCCAGCAAGCCTCTCACCTCTGCCCTACTGTCCCCTGCAGCTCCCGCATTCTGAGACTCTCGAAACCAGTTTGCTCGTCAGGTTTATGCCCTTCTCCAGCAGGCCTGGGGTACACCCTTCTCTGGTCTGCTGCATCAAGGAGGCCTTGTTGACTACTCTGCCCTCATGAACTGGGAGTTACCTTCCTATTTTTCCTACCACGTTAACTTCTACCTTTCTGAAGACTCTGTTTCGGTACCACCTTTCCACAATCCATTTGCTTTGTGAACTTAGAATAAAATACAGGCTTTAAATATTCTCTTCCTCCATTTTGATGGCAGCCAACTTCTAAAATAAATTCTCATTTTGTGTCTGTAAGCTACAGAATCATCTTTATGAAGAAAACCCAGGAGAAGACTTCCAGAAAGATGGCAGAGTGGTAAGCAGCAGAGAAAGCGCCTCTCTGAGACTTGCTGTCCAAGTCTGGAAAACAGCAATGCAAGGAAGAGAAGGGAAGTGGGCCTGTGGACTCAGGATCTAGTGGAGAGCAAAAAGAGAGATTTCAACAAGGAAGGTGGTGGTAGGTGGCGCCTTCTCCCTGAGCGGGGACTCGCTGCACGGGAAGTGCGGTTCAAACCTTTGGACACACAGTGACTGCTGGTAACTCCAGAGGTCTCCATGGACAGATGCAGCGTACCATGGAGGAATGGACACCACGAGCTGCACTGCTTGGTATGTGGACCCGATTTGGCCATGCCTCGAGAGAGGGCGACTGGCCGACTGGCCGACTGGCCGACAGCCATCTTGGAGAGTGGCCAACTAAACTCAGAACTCAGAACAAGGACTGGCTCCATCCAGCGGCTCAGCACTGAGTTCAAACTCACAGAAGGTGCGCTGACTGCTGCAGGCTGAATGCGTCTGATCCCAGCCCCGTGGCCCGAAACCAGCCTGAGCTTCAGGCTCACTGGGACTATCCAATACCCAGTCATACAGCTACTGCTAGCTTGCTGGGTTAAAACAACATGGATGTGGACTCTGTCTCCACATGTTGTCTACCAATAACAGCAGAGACAAATCTGGAAGTAGACTTTTTTCCCTCCCTCTCTCCCTTTTCTTTTTCGCTTTCTTCAATGTTTCATCTTGTTTCTTCTTTTTTTGAGACAGGGTCTCGCTATGTAGTTCAGGCTGGCCTTGAGTTCACTTTGTAGCCCAGGCTGGTCTCAAACTTCCAGCAATCCTCCTGCCTCAGCCTCCTGAATGCTGGGATTACAGGCGTGCGCCACCATGCCTGGCCTCATCTTGTTTTTGTATCAGTGTGAAGGTGGTTTCTCATTTTTGTGACTGCTGTTCTGTTTTGTTCTTCCTTTTATTTCTTCTCTTTCCCACATATCTTCTGCACCAGTCTCCTAAAGTTTGCATGATCCTCTTTTGTCATTTTCTAGACCGTCTGATGTAATTGTTGCTGATTGTACCACTTCAGCCAAAAGTGGCATAATTGTTCTAACCAGTTGTTCTTCCTCATGTACCATGAATGAGATTGTCTAAGGGTCCCAGAAAATACTGTGGACCACTGTCAAGGAAGCAGGGGCTGGGCCAAGTTGGCAGCAACCTCTCATCCCCAGTAAGTTGAAGAGGTACGATCTTGCAACAGACTCAAAACTCAAAAGCCAGCTACACGTGAAGACACCTCTGAGAAGCAGTCATTCCTAATGTTCTAAATACTGGCAATAAAGCCAGTCACCATAGGCAATTTATAAGCATCAACCCAGAAATTAAACTAAAAAAAAAAAAGAAAAGAAAACCCAAGAATACTAAGGAGACCAGCACGAAACAAAACCACATAAATTAGTAAGTAGCAGTGCACTGGGCATGGTGGTGCATGCCTGTAATCCCAGCTCTCGGAGGCTGACACAGGAGAATCACCTTGAGTTTGACGCCAGCCTGAACTACACAGTGAAATCCTATCTCCAAAAAAGGAAAGAAAAGTTTTAAGTAGCAATCTAGCTCCAAAATGAGTTCCTAAAACACAGGTTCTCAAGAACAAACATTACAGTATACCCTCCTTGATTGAGACTTGCATTAAGGCAGTTAAGTCACTCCTAACCTTCCCTGAGGTCAACAATCCCTTCTTGGGGCGAAAAAAAAAAGAATCCCTTTCTGAGAATCTGAAGAAGGCCACAACACCTCTCAGTGAGTCTGGCCCCACATCTGAAAGCTTCCTTAAAGAAAGAGTTTCATGTGCAGCAAGCCCAGTCTATGAGGCCCCAGACATTGCGCCCATTCTCAACAATACAGCCTGTGAGAGAGGTGCCTCGCCAGTACTGCTTTCTCCACGGCAGGGACCAAGCTTAGGCCACCCCACCACCGACTCTCCCTGACCATATGTGTCAAGAGAGTGGACTCCTCAATCCATATATTGCCTGTGTGTTTCTTCCTCCCCTCCCTCACCCTCTCATCCAAATATGGCAGGTGCCCAGGGTCCCACGTGTTATGCTAAGAACTTTTGGGTTGCCCTTGACATTATCATTACATTATTAAATGCTTCATGTTTTTCTTTGTTTAGGTATTGGGTTTTTTCAATTTATTAATTTATCTTTTGAGACAGGGTCTCGCTATGTAGCACAGGCTGACCTTGAATTCACTCTGTAGCCCAAGCTGGCCTTAAGCACCTGCCTCAGCCTCCCGGTGCTGGGATTACATGCCTGTGCTATCACACCTGGATGGTCATTTTAAAAGCAGTCATTTTTATACGATAAAGAAGTTCAAAGAAGTTATAATTTGATCAAACCCTATAATGAATACAATTTAATTTTTTTTCTCCTCTTTCTTTTTTTAAGAGTCCAAGGTGACTTTAAACTCTTGGACTCAGGTGATCCTCCTGCATCAGCTAATGAGTGGCTAATATTACAGTTATTATTGCACACCACCATGCCTAGCAACAATTAATATTTTCAACCTAATTTAAGTAGGCAGCAGGCCCAAAGTGGGGGAAAGTTTAGACAATAAAGCAATCTTTTTATGTTCATGCACACTGTGATTTCCTAGAGCTGTATCATTGTCCTAGAAGTGTCATATAAAGGCACAAATGGAAAAGCACGTCTTTGTCACTAACTTGCTGTTCTCAGGGTCGGACTGGGGTGAAATGCGGTGATTATTCAGAAGTCTTGTTGGGTAAGAATTCACTGCTTCTGTAAGATGTGCTCTTGGAACACTTTCTTTTGCAGGAGAAAAGCTCTGACTTGGCATGGAAGTTGTCCTATGCAACAGCTCGGCATTGATCTGTTGGAGGAGAACGGCAGATCTTAAAGGAGTAATTTTCACGTGACATCTCCCAAACAAGATACAATTTTCTCCTTTCCTCTTTTTTTTGGATTTTTTTTTTTCCGGTACCGGGAATCAAACTCATGACCTCGTGCTTGCCAGGCAGGCACTGTGCCACTGAGCTAAATCCCCAGCCTTCTCCTTTCCTCTTATCCAAGGAGACATGAGAACTACCCTGAACATGGAAATTCCCTGTGCTAAGTAGGATCAAAGAACAGATCCATAAGCTAAATCTGGCCCACAAGTGAGCTCAGAGTGGTCTGACACTTTTAAGGGACTGCATGCGGCCCACAAAGCAAAAAAACTTTCCTATGTGCTCTGTAACGGCCCCAAGCCACAGGACTTTAACAAGATATAATGAAAACATATTGTTCTAAGAGAAAGAAATTAAAGATAGTTAGCCCCCGGATCTGTCCTCACCCTCAAACCCTCCCATCAGTGTAATTATCCTGCAGCAGAATATTAACTCCTCATACAAGAAATTCAACTACTTCCTTAGATTCATAAGCTCAGCCAGTCTCTTGACACCACTAACCACTAAGAGATCTCCAAGGCAAAGCGAAGTAGTCAACGAAGGGGAAGAAAGACCTGGCTCTGACCAGGTCAGCATCAGAAGACGATGCCTTAGGTGCTGCTGTGACACCCTCCATAACTGCCCATGTAACAAGAGCCTAAAAGGAGTATTTGTTTGCCCTTCCTCAGACAATGCCCAAATGAACAGAGCAACTGAACAGACTGAATGAGGCTGTTGCCTTAGAAGTTAGGGTTGGAAAAGAGGGCAAGGAGTGGTACAAAAAAGAGAATGTGAACTGAGTTAGTAAGATCCCTTCCCTCTGTTACATAAGCCCAAAACTTTAAAGTGGACTAAAACTCAGCATGGATTAAACTAAGAACCACCAAGAATAAGACCTGGGTATAAAATAGAAGGCTTACTTACCCGAGGAATCACTTCTGGCTGTTTGATCCTGAATTTTTCCTTGTTGCTTTAAAAGAAAGATGAGAAATGAATATTTTATGTTTGCCTCATTACTACTTCTAAATCCTATTTTCCTAGGACATACTTACTTCATTACCAAATTACTGACATATGTTCTGAACTCTGCTTCTATTTCATCATAATTAGTGGCAAGGCCTTGGACAAGGGAATACTTCCTATCTTAAAAACACAATCTCAGAACACTGTAATGTCTTTCTGAAGCTTTCAGTCTCCCTGGGCCTCATCTGCAGGCCCCTAAACTACAAGATCACACAGGCTCTGTCTGTATCCAGTACTGCCACTAACCGTAAGAACAGGACAGTGTTCTAGAGCAAAGCCCTCTGGACAGCTCTAGGTGAACCTGGCCTTGTGTCTAGCATGTCAGCCTATGGCTGGCCTGGGTTATCTACCCATCCCCACTTCCACTACCCTCATTCACATATCTACTCTAGTTAAGCGGAATGAATCACTGTTCCCTGTATGCTGATTTTACCCATTCTGCTACCCACTGACTACAAAAATCACCTTCATGAGGTTTCCTGATCCATCTCTGCCCTCCTCTCCCTGGGCAGAAGCAGTCTCTTCCCCCTGAGCTTCCTTACTCTAATTAGTAACATACACACCTCACCTGTTACAATTCCTGTACACAACTCAAGATCAACTGTCTGATCTTTGTGTCTTAGATGGGATAGCAATAAAGACTAAGTGACCACACAGCAGGTAACCGCCTTAAAAAACTTTACGTACTCCATATCATAATCTTTTTAAATGTACACTAGCACACTAGGTCTGTCTTGGGAGAAGCATCAATCATAAAGCTGAGACTTTACTGTTTATGACTTGGGCATTCCCTCTCCCGCTCCCTCACCATACATTAATGCAACACTCACTTCTTTTTGTAGGTTTTCTCGTATGTGGGATGTACCAAATCTTCATCTTCAGGTTCTTCAGGAACATCACAGTTTCTAGACAGAAAGAGCACATGGCAATAACACATCACCAGTGCCTATTCGGATGTCTTGAATAGTACTTTCTGCCTCTCCAAAAAGGGCACTACCAACTATATGGTACCTGAACTGTGGGTCAGGGTTATTGGAGCAATACCATTTTTCTGGAAGTTGATCAATCCCATCTGGTAATTTTCGCCACTTTAGACAGGAATCACACTGAACCCATGTTTGATCAGGACGCTTCCTGTAATTCAAGAGCAAGATATTATCACGGATAATACGAATCCAGTTCATCAGGTTTTCTATCCCACTTCCACTACGGAATGCCTGATTATTCAACTCATTTCCTGAAAATTCTGTGATGTGACTATTTTTACTGTATGTTAATTTAAACTTAAGAACAACCATTCTGGCTGTGTTCAAAGGTCACAGGTCCATTTGAACAAAGCAATTCAAATCTCCTGTTAAATAGCACATTAAATTTTTCTAGACTAATGGCAAATTTAAAAATATTACAAATACCTTGCTCTGCAAGTTATTCTAAATTAGCACCTACAGAATTAAATCTATAGTATATTTATAAGCACATAACAGAAAAATAGAGAAATTATATTATAATTTAAGTAATTTTAACTGTATGATAATTTTTTACTTTCTTTTATAGCATAATTCTGAATAACCAACATTTGTACTTTCTAAACTTGATATGTAATATTTGTTCTTTTTAAAAAATTGGGCTAGAACTTGGACATGGTAGCACACACCTATAATCCTAGCACTTAAGAAGATGAGGCAGGACTGTCATGAGTTCAAGGCCAGTCTAAACTACATACTGAGACCCTGCTTCAAAAAAAAAAACCTCTGGAGAGGTCTGCACCAAGATTCCTGCTGCCTGTGCTGATAGTTGGGGAGAGGACACTAAGTGGTTGCGGGGTCCCATGCTCTGGGAGGCTGGAGAGAAAAAGCTACAAAAAAATGCCTTTCACCCCAGATGGCTCACTTGAGATGTTAGTAAGAATTGCCTCCTCGGTATTCTATAGCCATGATGAGGAGGCGGCCAAGGAGAGAAAACGAAGAGACCGAGAAAAAGCAGCTGCTTTTGCTGCAGCACAAAGAGAAACAGATCCTAAGTCTGATTCTCAGGGACCCAAGAACTCGATGACTACATTCATCTGCAAAAACTGTTAAAAGCCAGGCCAGGGGCTGGGGATTTAGCTCAGCGGCAAAGCACCTGCCTGGCAAGCACAAGGTCATGAGTTCGATTCCTGGTACCAGAAGAAAAACAAAAACAAAAACAAAAAAAAGCCAGGCCACCTCAAGAGGAACTGCCCTAAGCATCCTCCTGGGCCATGCCCTGAATGCAAAGGTGACCACTGGAGATCAGTCTGCCCTCTGAAGTGGAGGCCCCAGAACTCAGACCCATCCTACCAGTTAGTCTAACAGGAATGAGGGAGCCCGGGACAAACTCTGCCTTCTCCCTCTGGCCAGACTGTCATCTCCATGGAGGAGCCCGGGATAATCATGACTATGGAGGAACAAGAAAACAGCCTGTTGCTAGACACAGGTGCAAGTCTCTCCATCCTTCTTTTCAATCCTGGCCTTCCTTCCAGCCATCACACCTCAGTGAAAGGAGTCACTGGTGAGGAGGTAATACGCTATTTTTCACAACCCTTAGGCTGTAACTACTTGTTACATCTTTCCTGCGTATCTCTGTCTTCCTGAGAAACCACTTTGAAGATACCACCATGTGTTACAGCAGCACTGATATTTTCCTACTAATCTGTCCATAACTCTGTAATGTTTGTATTGTTCCTAGGCTACTTCGTAAATGGATGTTTATTACTATGTGTTTCCTACAACAACCACTGAGATAGTCAATGATTATTCAATTAGTAAGTCATGTATAGCTCTATTTATTTTCTTTAGAAACCATTTTGAATGGGGCTGGGGATTTAGCTCAGCGGCAAAAGCGCTTGTCTGGCAAGCGCAAGGTCGTGAGTTCGGTTCCTGGTACCGGAGAAAAACCAAAAAAAAAAAAAAAAAAAAACCATTTTGAAGATACCAAAGTATAGTATAACAACCATTGATGATCTCCTACCACTTTTGTCTGTAACTATTATTTGTCTATTTGTTTTCCTGAGAAACTATCTTGTGGGTAACAATATGTAAAACAACAACCATTGATCATTTCCTACCACTTTGTCTGTAATTCGGTAAAACCCTCTATTACTATGTTATCCTTCTTTTACTCTTTAAAATAATAAAAAAATAAACAAAAAATTAAAAAAAAAAATAAAATAGGTGGCTGGGGATTTAGCTCAGCAGCACAGCGCCTGCCTGGCAATCGCGAAGTCATGAGTTCGATTCCCAGTACCAGAAAAAACCAAAAGAAATAATAAAATAAAACAAATTAAAATAAAATATAAAAAAACCAAAAGAAAAAATTAGGCTGGGTGTGGCACAGGACTATAGTCCCAGTCCTCAGGATGCTGAGCAGGAGGATTACCACGAGTTCAAAGGTCAGCCTGAACTTCACAGTGAGACCCTATCTCCAAAAGAAAAAGACAGATTGAGCTGAGGGTACATAGGTAGCTCAACGGTAGTGTTCACTTACCACTTACCATGCCCAAGGCCCTAAGGTTTGATCCCTAGCACCAAAAGAAAGGATAATAATGCATTTATACAGTTCTATAAAACTTCAAAAATAATCTAAAAGATTAAGATTATCACTGTTAATTTTTTTTTGTCTTCTTGAGACCATTTCCCTATGCAGTTCAGGCTCTCCTTGAGTTCACTTTGTAGCCCAAGCTGGTCTCGAACTTGCAACAATCCCCACTGCCTCAGCCTCCCGAGTGCTGGGATTACAGGCATGCACCACGACGCGGCCATTGTCAATTTTCTGAATCCTGGAAATTTCCCACACTTTAATTCTTTTGTTCATTTTTGAGACAGGGTCTCACTATGTAGTCCAGGCTGGCCTTGAACTCACTGTGTAGCTTAGGCTGACCTTGAACCAGCAATCTTCCTGCCTCAGCCTCGTAAGTGCTGGGATTACAGCCTCAAGCTTATGAGCCACTATACCTGGCCTCCCATGCTTTTAAAAGTACAGCTATGCAGATAGATATTCAGGAAAAGGGTAGGGGGCTTCAGAATGAGCTGCATTTTTCTTAGTTTTCACTGTATCTCAGCTACCCTCCCTATCTGCCCAGGCAGAAACTACCCGTTTACTCAAGAAAGGAGGGCCGCTTCTGTGTGCACGGTGCATTGTTACTCAGTGCTTTCAGACTCTTAGTGTTTTATTTTTACAATTCAGTACGACTGATACTGTTTCTAAACGCACTTACTGTATATCTTCAACTGGCAAATTCAGAGGGTACTCTGCATTCTTCTTCACTTTCATTTCATTCCAGTAATCATTCAGTTTTTCTCCTAGTGCTGTAATCGTAAGCCTTAAAAAAGTAAAGCATAAAATCAACTCAAAGAAAAATACAATAAAAACATAATTTTTTCAAATACTGAGAAAACAATCCACTCGCAATTACTTTCAGTGCGGGAAACTGAACTCCGGGTTCTGTGTACACTAGGCAAGTGTTGTGCCACTGAGCTACATCCCCAGCCCTTCTATCGCTAATGACTAAATGGCAGTGTGAACATTCCGAAAAAAATGCTGATTTTCATTAATGCTGATTTTTCTATAGGGACCATGTACAAGTTCCAGAGCACAGACAAGAGCATCTAGGAAATAAGGGCTATATAGTTCAGTGGCGTTTATGAGACGCTAGGTTTGATCTCTAACACGCCACTTGTACAAATCTATAATTCAATATTAAAAGAAAAATTGTGTGCTAGTCCTCTGTTAAGAAAGCGTGTTGTGGAGCAATTACTGCGAGAGTCAGAGCTGCCTATCACATCACACACAGACGCCCACAGCACATGTCTGTCCTCCCAGTCTGCTCCGCCCTTCTCACATCTCTGCTCAACCTATGAGACTGCTTATCGCCGCTCAGAATGTGTCTGTGCGCAGGAGTTGCAGTCGCAGGGTATGAGCACTGATAAGCACTTCACTCAAGAGTCCATCACTTTTCAAAATGATCGGCAATTTCCACACCTACCGGCAATTTACAAGACTTCCAACTGCCCTGTATCTTGCCAGCGTATGCTGTATCTTTTCATCTTAGACGTGTTTTTCAGTTTTGTCCACTATAATCAATACTTTTTGGGTCCTGTTCAAAATACTTCTCTAACTGGGCTGGGGGGTGTAACTCAGTGGTAAGGCACTTAGCAGATGTAGCACACGCAAGAGCCTGAATCTGATCCCTAGCACAGCCCAAAAAAGGAAAAAGCAAAACAGAGAAACCCCACATGTACACAAAAAGCAAAATGTACACAAAACAAAACAAAGGGCATGAAAATATTGTTCTGTATTTTCCTTTGCTGTTTTGGTCTTTCTCATTTGGGTGGAAAAGCCCAACTGGAGCTGATTTTGGAGGCAGGAGTTAAGGTTCCTTTGTCTGCGCAAAGGCGAAATGAGCCCCAATTTTGGAAGATGGTGATTTTCCTACCACACTTTACCTCTGAGATCCATCATGTGACCAGATGTCTAAAGTATGAGTTTGGAGCTCTATGTCACTAGACGATCTGTCTGACCTTTATACCAACATCACGCTTCCTAGTCACTGCAGCTTCCAGCAAACTACTAAGAGTGCACAAATCTACCTGCTCTGTCAGGCTTCAGTGACTGTTGTGTATCTTTGGTAGTACCTCTGACAGAATTTAGAATAAGCCTATTAATGTCAACATACATAAACACCTGCTGGGATTTTTCAAAAACTGGAAAATTAAATGATTTAATCACTTTGGAGAAAAATTATCATTTTATTTACTTGGCCTTCTAATTCTCTGATCTGGTAGACATGTACTTAAATTTGTCTCCGCAATAATTTCTCAGTTTTCAGTAGAGGGTTTGCATATTGTTTCGGACTTCTTATATAGTTGATACTGTCAGCTGCATGTAATAATTTTATTTCTTTCTTTCCAATCTTTTTCTTGCTTTGTATTAGTTACCTCAAGAAAAATGGTGAACAGTTGATACCCTCATCTCATTCCCACTATTAGAGGAAAGCTATCAATAATTCACCATTAGACATGACACTTGCTGCCTTATAAATTTTCTCTGCCTAATGTCCTTTAACCCATGGTTTTAAGTGTTCCTTTAAATTTTTAAAAATCACAAAAGGGTATTGCAATTTTATCAAGCTTTTTTCTGTACCTATGAAGACAACTGCAAGAGTCTTCTAATGTTTATATAAACACGATGAAGTACGCTTATTTTCAAACATGCAAGGTACCCCCGCTAAGCTGGAACACAGCCCGCTTGGCTGTGACATGTCCCTGCTGGCTTGAACTGCAAGTGGTACATGCATGACTGTCCCATGGGACAACAAGGGACGGCACTATTGGGTGGTACAAGCTGCCAGCAGCCAGACATATGAATTACAGCCCTGGATGAACATGTTAATGTATTACCCTTCCTACATGTCACTGGACAGCATTCACTATTACTTTAATTAAGACTTTATTTCTATGATAAGACAACTACAAAGCAAGACCCTGTCTCAACCAAAAAAACCAACAAAAAACAAAAAACAAAATAAAACAAAACTCTACAAATTTTCTTTCTGCTGATGGACTTTTCAGCTTGCTATCAAAGTTATGGGCCTCTTAAGACCTTTAGAAGAGTTTTTGTAAGATTAATGCCACTTGTTCCCTAAATGTTTGAATTTAACACTGTGAGAAGTGTTCTTTGTTTCTGAGACAGTCTTGCTTCCTAGCTCAGGGTGGTCTCAATCTTGAGGTGCCCTCCTATCTCAGCCTCCCAAGTGCTTGGGATCACAGGTGTGAGCTATCATACCCAGTTGTGTGCAAAGTTTCCTAACACTGACTTTATTTCGAAGTTAAATATCTGCATCATCTACAATGGCAAAAAATTGTTCCTGTTATCCTCTTTAATGCTTTTGTCTCTGTAAGACCTGTAGTATCTTCCCTTTGGTGTCCTAAGCTGATGATTTGTATTTTCTCCTTTTTTTCTTTAGTCTTGACAGATGCTTACAAATTCTGTTCATCTCATCCAAGTACAAATTCTTTACTCCAGCCCATGCCAGGTTCTGCCACTCTGCTGTCACTGGCTGGAGCCACAGTGTGACCAGGTGCCTTCCAGCTGTCCCTCAGGCTTGCTCTCCCCACAAGCAACACGGTGGGGGGGGTGGGGGGGTGTGCAGACATGGACACAGACACAGACACAGACCCCTCTTCCACAAAGAGCAATGGCTAGGCCTTCAATGGTCCATTTAAATCACTAACTTCAGGGGCTGGGGATTTAGCTCAGCGGCAAAGCACCTGCCTGGCAAGCGCGAGGTTGTGAGTTCGGTTCCTGGTACCAGAGGGGGAAAAAAAAAATCACTAACTTCTTCTCAGGGTTTACATTGGAAAAACTTTCATTGACTTCTAGATTTATTTTTTATTCTCTGAGTAATCTATCACATTTTACAAAATTATAACTACATTACAAAGCTTAAAGAAACAGAAAATACATTGTAACCATCTTCTTCTACTCTTGGAATAGTGATCTATTCCTGCTGTGCTTCTCAGTAGCTGCACCTGGGGACACAGCAAGCAAACTTTGTATTCACCACTCAGTATGACAAACAGCGTGTGTGCATGTGTGCAAAATTGTCTAACTGGGATTTTTACCCAAATAACACTCTGCCTACCAGGTTTTGCGTATGTTTACCTGAGCATCAGAGCAAGTGAAACATACCCGCTCCACTGTACTGTTGTGTAAGCGTGTATTTACCATAAATGGAACATGGGTGACTCATGGCTGCCCCTGGGGAAAGCAGGGCCCATCAGCAAGGTATGTGCAAGAGATCAAAAGCAGCATGGGGGAGTTCTGCCCATCAAATGCTCTTTATAAAATTTCTTCTTCCTTCCTTTTTTTTTTGTAATAGGTTTTAATTTTCTTTCCGTTTGTTATTTTTTTTTGTTTTTGGTACCAGGAATTGAACTCAGGACCTCACGCTTCCAAGGCAGGCGCTGTGCCACTGAGCTACACCCCTGGCTCTTTGTTAAATTTCTGTACATTTAGGATTTGTTTTTAAAAAAGTTTTCTTTTGATTTTTCTGGTAGAAATAGCCCAATTCAGTATAACGGCACATGAAAACTTCCAGATTTGCAAGTTTTGGAGGAGGTCAAAAGTAAATCATCAGATCATTCATGCAAGGATGATAAAGACCATAAGGACTTTGATGTTGGCCATGTAAGCCAAAGTTCCTGTGACAGTGAAAAGGAGCAAGAATTGACCAATACAGACACAGGGAATGCAGACCCCCTTGATTCAGATGATGAAGAAAACAGTAAAATGTGCACTATTTGGTAGAAACGGTACAAAATGGTTACACAACCAAAAGTAACAATCTAATGATAAAACTAGGTCCAAAAATATAGTGAGGATCTTAGCAGGGGTGAAACCTACTAGAAAGAACGCCAGCAATGCCATTCAATAGTGGAAATTCGGACAGACAAAATGCTGCAAGATACTGTGAAATACACAAATGCTATGCTGAAAAACAAGTAAAACATTCTGTATGCACCAATAGCCATACTCAAAAAATGTTTTTTCCCCAAAAATGTATTTACAATGATGACATCTTACCAGCTAAACTGAAAGCATTGATAAAGTCAGTCTGCTGTACTTACCAGGGCTTTTCATGGGTAATCTCAGGAATGTAAAAGATTTATGGAAAAGTGATGGGTGTCGGCTTGAGGGTTTTTTTGGTTGTTTTGGAGACAGGGTCTAGTTTTGTAATTTAGGTTGGCCTCAAACTCATGGCAATCCTCCTGCCTCAATCTCCCAAGTGCTGAGATTACAGGTGTGCGCCAGCATGCCTAGCGGTGGGGGCTTGAGGTTTGCAGAATTAAGATGACACTGAGACTAGGTTCCCTTCAAAATTGCCCGAGGGGGCCAGGGATATAGCTCAGCGGCACAGGGCCTGCCTAGCAAGTGTAAGGTCATTGAGTTCAATTCTCAGTACAAAAAAAAAAAAAAAAAAAAAAAAATTGCCTTAGGTTTGATGACAAAACCACCTGCCAAGAAAGAAAAGGAACTAATAACCTGGCTGCTATCTGCTCATGGTCTGAGATATTTGTGGGTAATTGTCAAGCAATTTACATACCACATGAATGTATCACTACTGATGAACACCTTGCAACATTTCATGGTTGCTATAGCTTCAGGCAGTAGAGTCCCCCAAAACCTTCAAACTATGGCAAAAAATGTATGCCCTTCTAGATGAGAAAACTCATTACGCTTTCAATTTAGAAATTAATCCTGGAACTCAGCCACTAGGTCCTTATTCATGTAATAATAAACCAAATAAGGTGAGCAGACTTG